ATCAACAGATAGAGCGAGAGATTGCAATTAAAATAATGTGAGGTTAGAAGTTCTTGGTAATTTACGCAATAAAAAAAAAACGAATCTGAACACAAAATAAAATAGCTTTTTTATAATCATGTTCATTGATGTGTGTTTTACACATTGTATAGTACTTTTACTGTTGCCATGATGGTCTAGTATTGTGATAAGCATATTGGCATAATGCTCATTGACAATGAAATTGCTTACAAAAATTGCACGCCTGCGCGAACACATTTAACAAGATATGTTACGTTAATATAATTTTTACTAAGTGATTCAGAGTTTTTTCAATAGTTTTCAAAGTTAGTTTTGGGCAAAAAAGGACAGTATGTCCTGCATATTTGTAGGAGGTTAACGTATATACTTTTATTTTTCTTCAAATTTTGCACCTTTATATAATAAAGAAATATTAAAAATACTCATATTAGAGGTAATGTCGTATTATAACTCAACACGTCTCTATTTGTGTGCCGCGATTTTTTTTTTCCTTTTAAGATTTCTGTAGAAATCATTATTTTTGGAATCTTTGGCTTTTTTTGAAAGATATGGCGTATTTTGCAATATTTAAAGGTTATGTGCACGTATCATACAAAGCCACTGTGTTTGTATACCACAATAATTTAATTTTTTTTAGAAAACCTATAAAATTTGATACTTTTTCGTTATCTTGCTTTTCTTAAAAAATATGGCGTATTACTAATATTCAAAGCGCATGTTATGTTATGAAGACCCGCTTAATCAATACAGGCTATCTGCATCAACTAGCCCTATATGCAAAAATTATTTGTTAATGCATTTTATTAAAATAATAATATTAACTAGATGATATCGTAATAATATTAATTACTCTATTTTAAACATATGCACACAGGCGAACATATACACACTTGCACAGTAGAAATAGACAGTGCACATACACTCATTATGCATGCACACTTTCTTCGTTCCATTTATAATTCTGGTCTGTAGTGTCTGTATACTAGTTACCCACCTATACATACGTGCAAATGTACATGCACATTGCACATAGTAACACACCACGACACAGCAATAGGGGTATAACAATAATATCACATGCTGACTATGTATATGTAGCTGAATTCAAAGCCAAACGATAAAACTCTCGCACTAGATTTCTAACTATGCGCACGTGATAAAGTTCTTACTTTAAAAACTTTACAAGGTTACTTCAAAATAGAATTTCTTACAGTAAGATCAAAAATTGCTATAACCAATGGAAATACCAATAAATTGTTTAAACGTGTATTCTGATAAGTTATCCAGAAATTGCGTTAATTTTGTTTCTTATCTTATACACAACAGTAAAATTTTTGAAAGTTTTTTTAAAATTTTATTTACTGGCATTCTTAGCAACTTACATAGGGTATGTGTCCCAATTATGGCCCCTTTAAGTGAAGTTAGAGGTTCAATTGAATTTTATACGTACAAGTCGATAAATTAAAACGATGAAAACGTAATGCATAGATAATTCAACCTTTTTTTTACAAAATACACTTTTTTCAATATAAAAAAATTGTTTTTTTTCATCATAAATAATTAAATAAAAAAAAAAAAATTTGTCTGTATTATGGACCCTCCCAGGGAATTTTGAACATATTGTGGCCCCCCCTATAATGATCCATGTCCACATTTTGGCCCCTCATGTGATGGACCCTGTCCATGTTTTACCCCCCCCCCCCAATTATGGACACTGTTTTTATCTAGTTTCTCTGCATTTGAGATTTTCTGGAATAAAATGAAGCAAGCTGGATACCAATTGATTGATAATGAGGTTTATTTATCAGTTCTTAATGCTTTTTAAATACACAACAAGGTAGTTATTAGTGTTGACCTATAAATTTCATGAAAAATATATTCTGTGATAAAATTTGTTATTTGTAAGAAAAGTTTTATATTTATGGTAAATCTATTAGGACTGTTTAGATTTTTTGGTTTGTTTAGGAACAGGTAATTTTTTTGATTTCTCTCTCTCTTTCTTCAATGCTTTCTCTTTTTTCATTTCTTCTACTCTTTCTTTTTTAACTGTAGCTGCTGCTTCTCTAATTTTTTTTCTCATTTCTTTTTCTTCTGAAATTTTTCTTTTCTTATTTTCCTGTTCCTGGAACCACTCTAATCCTTCTTTTGAAGACATTATTGATGGACATTTCGGGTGGATCTTTCTTTTTTTCTTTGAGTTAGCCTGCTCCATTGGCCAAAATAAATAATTTTTCTTATGATTACTACAATCAGCAATTAAAGATTGATTGTCACTTGTTTCACCTACTGTATAATTTTCTGCACTGGCAGGTGACTTGTCATTCTGGTCAGGTACAGTGTGAATTTTTTCATCGAAGGATGATTGCATATGTGGATCAGGTACTGCAGAACTTGTTTCATCGATGAGTAAGAGATCATTTGGATGCAAAGCTGCAGTACTTGTTCCATCGAATACTGGTTGCTCATATGGATGAAGTACTGCAGAACTTTTTTCATCGATGAGTAAGAGATCATTTGGATGCGAAGCTACAGTACTTGTTTTATCGATGACTGTTTGCTCATTTAAATGAAGTACTGCAGAACTTGTTCCATCGACGAGTAAGAGCTTATTTAAATGAAAAACCACAGCACTTACTTCCCCACTAAGTGATTGCTCATTTGTTACTGCATAACTCACTCCTTCAGTCATATTATAAATGTTTCCTTGACCATCAATGAAAAAATTAACTGTTTCACGTAAGTTTAGTGGTTATGTATAAATAATATTTCAGAGTTGCACATTGTATTATATTCAAGGGACTGCAGATTTGTTTCAGCCTGTTAGGTAAATACATTTTTGTTAATTGTAAGTAAGTTATAAATAAAATTGTTAGGACTAATTTATTACAATTAACTCACCTCAGTTTCAGTTGAAATACTAGCTCTAGCGTTTAAATCAAATTTATCACCACAAATATTAACCCATATTTCAAAGAGTTTTTTGTCATCTGAAGAGCCAGTCCACTCACTTTTACTTTCTGCATGACTTTTGAATAACTTAAGTGTATCTGGACTAATGTACTTTTCTATTGAATCTATAAGCATTCATTAAGTTATATTACTTGATTCTTGTTCATCAGTCTGATCTTCACATGCATGAGTCTGCTGGTTTTCTGATCTAATATATATTTTTGATACATCAATATTTTGCATGCAAAAGGGATGGAAGCCACAAACCTTGAAGGCATTACTTAAAATTGATTTTAAATTTATTTTTGAAAATACTTGGGTAAGCAGCATTGCTACATCATGCTTGGGTATACTCAGAGCATTTTTTTCAATTCTATAAATATTTTCAGCTTTTTTCCCATAACTTTTAAATGGAGAAAAGAACCCAACATCCATTGGTTGAGTTATGTGAGTAGTGTTTGGTAAAAGTGCTATGAGAATAATTCCATGCTCATTACAGAAAGTACTGAGTGTATGAGTTATGTGAGAAGCATGGCCATCAACAAACAACAAAACTGGTAAAGCAATTTGTGACTGTACAAGAAAAGGATAACACTTGTTTGCCACATACTCATAAAAAATCTTTGAAGACATCCAACCTGATTCTGAATTTGCAACAACAAAGTCTTTTGGAAGACTTTCATATATATGACTAGGTACTCTCTGATACTTTAAAAGAATAAGTGTAGGAGGAATTATTCCAGCAGCACTGGCAGTGACTATTACAGTTAGATTTTCTTTTTCAATGTAATTTACTACCTTGTACACATTTTTGCTACCTTTGGCTGCTAAAACCTTACCACCTTTTGGGTTCAACATTACAGATGTTTCATCAGTGTTGAACACTCTAGAACCATCTACTATATTCTGCAATCCTAAGTTGTCCAAATACTTGGCAATATTTTCATGCCAATTTTTCAATGAATCTTCGGTTACTGTGGCTCTGGCAAGTGAAACATTTTCACTCCATCTCTGTTTTAAGTTTGGATGTCTCTTTTTAAATCCTTCAAACCAATGACGTCCAGGTCTATTATCAGTGAAAGGATTTTCCTTTTTTTTAGATTTCAGAAGCATAGCAACACTGTCAAGTAACTGATCTTTTGTAATGGGACATCCCAGTGACACCATTTCAAATATCCAATTTACGAGACTTTTTTCTTCCTCAGGGGTCAATACAGTTGAAGGCCCAGGCTTCGGTTTAGCATGCAGATTTTTCATTCTGTTTCGTACCGTCGATCTCGGAACATTTAAAGATTTGCATGCTGTTCTTAAAGGTGTTCCGTCACGTACTGTAGCTACGGCTTTTTCCAAGTTATCACTATCATAACTACATCTCTTTTTTGGATTTTTACTCATGATTTGGCTTTTATAAAGAACTGCACTGTTGGGATCAAAATAAGAGTCGATGCATAGAACAGTTAAAAACTTGTGGTAACTATTTAATCCATTGGATGAATTTGTAGTAATATTTACATGCTTTTATGTTACATGCTAACGGTAAATCGTAAACCGAGTAATAATTACGAAATTTTTAGGATACTGTTAGTTAATCCAATCAAATTATCTCTTGAAATTATCAAAAATTGTATTATGGGGGGCAAAAATAAGGTCAGGGTCCATGATTGGGACACATACCTCTACTACCATACAAATTACATAAAGAATGTCATAATGTATTCATACTGTACAAGCTTATTCCAAATAATACAACTTTAAACGTCTTGTGAAGAAGAATACCTTCAAGATTTTTTTATAGTAGGCATTCCAAAACTTAATATTAAATCGTGTTTCTTCAAAAAAACCTTTGCTTTCAAGAAAGTCCTATTAGCTACCATACTGGAAGATTTAAAGGCTTTGTTAGACAAACCAGCTGATATTCTGCAGAGAGAGTTTATTAGCCTACTATCTTGTCTTTAAATTTGAGAACACGTTCTCTTTTGTTTAAAATGAACGTATTATTCTTATTTATGTATTACTGCTTATATTTCCAGTTTAAGCGAATGCTGAACAAAGAGCTTTCACACTTCTCGGAATCCTCAAAGTCTGGAAATCAAATTTCAGAGTACATTTGCAGCACGTTTTTAGGTAAGTAAAAAAATTCACATTTACTTTTTTGTTGGTCTTTAAAATCAAATAAGTTTTATGTATAACATCCAAGGAAATTAAAAGTGATTGAAATTTTTCGAAAAAAATTTTACAGTTTCTTGTTAAGAAGTTAATTATATGTACTAAACTTCTAAATGTAAGCTAAAAAAAAGTGAACAAGTTGCAATACTTTAATTATTAAGTTTTTGTTCTAAACTTTATTAATCCTAAGTTTCTGTTGCATAACATTGTTTTATTTTTTTTAATACACATCTCTACTAAATTTAAGGTCTAAGTAGTACGGTGAAATATTTTTGAAGTTCTATTACTTATTCTCTTTTATTAAAAAACCTTGTGAGCGAGTTAAAACGGCTTTATGGTAAGCCTAAAAGTCTTCTAGCTGAAGAAATTTAGGAGATCATTGGTTCAAATTCCGTTAAAAAATATGAAGACTTTTTTCTCGGGTTTTTTCAAAGAGATGTTGAAACTCAGAAACGAAAAAACTACTCATTGAATTCTAAAGACGAGTGGTGAATTTTTCTAGATAATGTTTGGATCTCTAGATTGTTTCTTTTTACAGGAAATCAAAACCTTGCAAGCATATTAAAAAAATAATTATTGGTCTTCAAAATGTTAGTACGGTAAGTTTTACGGTTATTGTCAATAATTAACTATAAGACCTTATATTTTCTGGGGGTATCTTAAAATCATCAATTACCCCTTAAAATACTACCCAGTTAAATAGATGATTACTTTTTTTAAGAGAAACTTTGAAAGAGGAGAAGAGAGACTTTCCACTAAAAACCTAAAAATGCTTATGGAAAAAAATTAAGAAAAAAAAAAAAGTATGGTAAAAATAAGAATTATGAAATATTAAAAAATCTAGTTGTTTATAGGTGGGATTCAAGGTTCTCTGAAGTAAAGTTATATAAGCTTTAGCAGACCACCAAATGAATTCTGTTGTCTCGATTTTTTGTCTTTCTGGAGATCTTAGAAAAAAAGCTAAAAAATGTTACTTATAATGTATCAAGACTATATATTTTTATTTTAAAAATTGTAAACTTTGTCTCTGTTCAGAAATGATACAATGGTTAAGTTTTCTAATGGTACCTACCTCCACCCCCGGCTTAACTAACCGACCATGTGTTTGCACATGTAAACAAAAATTAATCAGCTGATCACGTTTTGGTGCACTTTAAGCTCTTTGAAGAGGTTCAAGAGGACTTGAAAGCACTCAAAGTGTGCCAAAACGTGATTAGCTGATTAACTTATGTTTACATGTGCGAACACGTGGTTGGTGAGTTAAGCCAAGGGGCAGGTACCAACTCAAAACTTAACCAAGGTATTATTTTCAAACAGATCCATTACATAGCTACTAGATGCATTAGTTAAAACACTTCACGAATTAAATCAGGAAAACTAATAAAATCAGGAACAATAAAATGCTTTAAGACCTCTCTGTTAACGTACTATTTGGACGTTATTTATTAGAAAGTTAAAAAACAAAGTCATCTTAAAGATTTCTTATACGATTCCAGTCTGTGTAATACGTTTAGTTTTCAGTAGTGTGGAAGCGTTACGAGATAACTTTTTGAAGCAGATATGGCCCCAGTAGCTTCTTTAGTCCTATTCTACAAATATACTAAAAAGTATAAGACAAAATAAACTTGATGTTTCAAAACCATCTAAGATTATTGTTAATAAGTCACTTTTAAAGCATTGCAATAAATTTTTTTAACATGGCTTCTAAACCATTTGATCACTGATAAGTTTCTAAGAGATGTGAACTAAATTTGTAGAAGCTGGGTCTCAAACAGAAAAGTCATGTGTTTCCAAGCCACGAATCTTTAAAAACTGAAGCTTGATATATTTAAGTGTTTTCTACATTAACAGCTAACAGTATTTGGCGTTAAAAAAAAGATTCCCTGCATATTAAAAGACTTTAATATGTAAAAAAATCAAAGACTACATACTTAAAACTATATTTAATCATTATGTTTTTTCATAACTCTGTACTTCATGCATTGGAAACAAGAGTAAGTTTGATATAAAAATGATGTTTATATAAAATTCTATTAATCAACATCTCTACATAAAAATATTATTGTTATTGACAATAAAAATCATGTGCGCATCACCAGACTGGCTTGGTTATATCTTTAATTAATACAGACAAATAAAACTCGACAAAAATGTATCTGTCACATCTGTACAAAATGTAACGGGGATAATCTTAAGCTTCCATGGCAAGTGAAACTATTTTATTGCGCTAAACAAGTGTACATATTTATCTTCCTTGATTATATAAAGATTTTAGTATGGGATATATGTATGTGGCCTATAAATCGGCATGAGGTGGCAGTCCCATGGCTGCCGTGTCCAGGAGTTGAGGAAGGAGGTGAAGTAATTAAACGCTTGTTAACATTAACAAGAAAAGGTTTAATATTCACTAGTAAGAAAGGGCTTTTTAAGGAAGCTACAAAATGTGTGCTTGCAATGACGGTCGCGACTTCTCTGCTCGCGCAGCGGCCTGCACGGCGAGCAGAGACGCGGGGGAAAGAGAAGCGGAGGAAGGCTGAAGAGCTTACTCTTTTACCGACGGTTGCGCAGCAGTGTCGGGTCCTCACACTACTCCCCCCTGAGACAGAACAAATAAAAAGAAAGTGAAAGGCTGTGGCCATAACAAACTGATATAAGTTACAAAAATTAAAAAAAAATGTTTGAATGCAACTTGACAAGAACATTACTGTTTGAATTGCAGTACAACATAAATTGGATTGTTTTTACTTAGTTACAATTAATGTTGGAAACAATTTTTTTTAACGGAACAGAGTCTCAATACATAAAAAAAAAAAAATGATAATTTACAGAGTGTGTGTAATTACGCTGTGGCCGGGCAGGTGTAGGCCATTAAAAAGTTGTAAGACTCAAATAATGTTAAATATAATTACAAAATGTGTTTAGACACTACTTAAAGTCTATGTAGATTTGACTAATGATAACTTTGACGTAAAACATAAACGTTGCTAGCGCAAGTTAAGAAGATATTTAAAAGAAGTTTTACAGACTGTTTTCATAATTAACATTGACTTGGCAATAACAGAGATATTAAAAACTATAAATTCGCAGTCTCTGAGTTACAAATCAGCCAACGCAAGGCACTTTGGTGTGACTAAACATTAAATGTAACGCAATTTTACAGTAATAGTATAACTGAGTAAATATAAAATCACAGTTGGCGTTAAATAAGCTGGGACTATATTAATTAATTTTCCTTAATATTAGCAACCCGGTAACAAAGAGACGAGAAAACAAATTTACTTAGAATTATTAATGGATGTGCTGAAATGAACTTTTTTGTTGGATTGTTTATTGCACGGATAGGTTTTAAGTACAGGGATGGGCCTTGGAGTCAGTATGCAGGGTGTGGTGAGATCCACAGTGGGTGCCTCAAGGTCCTCCAGAACAAAGTGAGCTGGTTTGAGTTGTTCTGTTGAGACAACTTTGTGTGTACCGTTTATATCTACTTTATAGTCGAGGTAGTAAATTCGCTCGATGATTTTGTAAGGGCCCGAGTAAGGACGTTCGAGTGATTTGGCAGCTAGGTTATGACGAAATACATGTAAGCAAGTGCGAAGATCCTTAAAAAAGAATGGGCAAGCCTTGTGACGGTGTTCAATGGGCACTGGTTTGAGTGTTTTCATGTGTTCCCTGTAGTCCTCAATAAAAATTTGAGGATTTGCAAAAAAATTGTCAGGGATGAAGAATTCACCGGGCAGGCGCAAGGTTGTACCGTATAAGAACTTGGCAGGCCAGGCTCCCATGTTAGTCCGTACTGCGGTGCGGAGGCCAAGCAGAACTGTGTTAAGAAGTTTAACCCGATTAGGATCACTGTGACACATGAGTGCGGCCTTCAAACTGCGATGCCAGCGTTCTATGAGCGCGTTGGCAGTTGGATGGTAGGCAACGGTTCCTTTGCACTGGCTGCCTATGAAGGAAAGGTAGGCGTTAAATATGTTGGTTTCAAATTGAGATCCCTGATCTGTGGTCAGAGATCGTGGGGCACCAAAGCGAGCGACCCAAGTCTCTTGGAAGGCACGAAGGAACGTGGAGGCTTGAGAGAGACATCCTCCACTCAACGAGAGAAACGGTCTATGATGGTTAAAATGTACGAGAAACCCTCACAGATCTTAAGAGGACAAACGATGTCCATGTGAACATGACGAAATCTGTCGTCCGGAGCTATAAATTAACTGGGTTCGTTTTTAACATGACGAGAAACCTTAGATTGTTGGCAATCGAGACAGCCAGGACACCAAGATTTTATATCTCGGTGCATGTTAGGCCAAACGTATCTTTGACGAATCAGTTGGTCTGTAACTTTAGCGCCAGGGTTAGAAGAACTATGAAAAAGATCAAAAATTCGTTTGCGTAAAGCTTTTGGAACGTAGGGACGAAGAATTTTGCCAGTGAGGTCGCAGAAGAGACAAAGATGCTCGTGACCTAGTTCGATGCTTTTGAGTTTTAATGAACAGTCTGAAGACTCGAGAAGTGACTTTAAATCGACGTCGTGCTGCTGATGCTGAACAAGTTCGGGCATCTCGATATCAGTAGGTAGGCGAATCATGTCGACGCGAGAGAGAGCGTCTGCTGCGATATTATCTGTGCCAAGTAAATGTTCAATCTCTGTGGAATATTGAGAGATGAAGCACAGCTGTTGGCACTGACGAGGAAAGGCTTTATCAGCCTTTTGCGTGAAAGTATAAATCAAGGGTTTTATGGTCAGTGACGATTTTAAAGCACCTACCCTCAAGAAAATATTTAAAGTACTTTATGGACGTGTAAATAGCAGTTAGTTCCTTTTCATAAGCGCTATATTTGCACTGAGCCAGAGATAATTTTCGCAAGAAGAACGCTAAAGGGTGCCAAGTTCCATCAGTCAACTGCTCGAGGGCTGCACCCACGTCAAAGTCTGAGGCATCGGTTACAAGATGCGTAGA